TATACATATATATGTATGTATATGCATATACATATGTATAGCCAGATCTGTATGTATCGAGTATATAGACTCGATTGAAGCGCAGCAAGGAAACGCCATTGAACGCACGGACGGCGCAGCCAGCGGGCTGTTGTCTGGCCGGGCGGTGCATGAGGAGGAGGTGGGTCAACAGAAACAGCAACAACAACAACAACACCAACAACAAACAACTGAGACAGCAACTGTCGCTTGTCTGTTGACACGACAACAACAAGAGCAACAAAACCCACCCACATTCATTTAGTCATCTGCATCGCGTTGTTAACCTCGACACCAAAAATGATCTCAAACAAAAAGGCGTATGCCATGAAGATGCTGCATCTGGCGTTGGCCTTGAGTCTGCTGCACGTGGACACGGATTATACGCTGCTGCAGCAACGCCTGTTGCGCCGCTGGGACTCCCAACTGGAGCTGTCCCATGGCGAGGGCTGGGAGCTGGAGATGCTGCGCACGGTGCCTATGATTGAGACACAGCAGCCGTATGGCAATCGCAAGGGCATGATGCCGTTGCTCGAGGATCTCCTTCAGTTGGATCAACATCATCCCCATCGGCAGGTGGGTGGCGGCGATGGCAGCGGCGGGGAATATAAACTGCCCACGGGCAGGTTCAATGCGAGCACCTTTGTCATGAATCTACACAATACGACGGGCAACAGCAGCGTGCAGACGGCGGCGCTGCAGGATCTGCAGAGCTCTGCCGGCAACGGCGCCAACTCAGGCAGCTCGAGCAGCAGTTCGGGGGCAGCGAACACACCGGGCGGAGGAGCCGGTGCGGCGGCACTTGGCGAGATCCACATCAATACGACGAGCAACATGAGAGGCCAGAATGCAATGGCCGCCTCGCCCGAGCTGGATATATTCATGTCGCCCGATCTGCTGCAGGATCAGCGTTCGATCTGGGAACAGAATCTGGCCGATCTGCATGACTACGGCGACTTGCCCTACAGCAGTCCGTACGCCCATCTGCCGCTCAAGGATGGCCAGCAGCAGCCGCACAACAACAGCCAGCTGGACCTCAATCTGGCGGCCTTCCTGCATGGCTATGCGGGCGGAGCCAATGCTCTGGGTCAGCATGCGAGCGATGCGCCAAGTGCTCTGAACGACAGCACGCCGCATCCCAGCAACTCGGGCAGTCTGACTGTGCAGCACTTCGGACCGGATGCTGATGATGATGATGAGGACGATCTTCTACTGAGTCGCCTATTCATCGAGGATAACTCGGACTCGGAGTCAGCCGTGGGTGTTGCAAATGCCTGCGAAGTGGAAGGCTTGACCAGCGAGGAGGATTCCTTTGGCGTTGTCAACGAAGTAGAAGTCGTTGAGGAGGTAACACTTAAATAGATCTAAAGCCGACATAAGTCGATGGCATAGAGTCTTTGAATGTATATGTGAATGGGGTTTTAAACCTTGATTGAATGTGAGATCGATCAGCTATATATGTACGAACTATTAGTTCTATTGGGTTCTTTAGTTCTCTGTAAACTGTAAGTTTATATGAGTTATTCAGGACTTCATTAACTATATGTTCAGTTCATCATTCATTCGGTTCATTTCCTAATTGACTAAAAGTTCTATTTACCTATTCTAACTATTAGCTCTATAAAGTTAATCCATTCCTAAATACGAGTGGTATATGTTTGAACCAAAATCGAATTTAAGAAATAATTTGAGGAGTTGTTGATCGCTGTTATTGATCACCTCAGTTATATTATAAACACTTCGATCTGCTTGTATGTGTTGTGTACGCATTCTGTTCCCGTTACAAAATATTTAAACAGTGTCACCTACTTGAATTGTCGACTTGCTAATGAAGGGGCGCTTGCCCTTCGCTTGACTTATTCGAGGTGTCATTAAAATTTACGTCTCAGTTTCACATTTTCAATTAGACAAGCGTCGAATGAGCTGAAATCGCCAGCTAGAGTCGTTTCAGGTCTGAAAATGTATTTTATAGACACTTTGCAGACTATATTATGCAAATTATGTTTGTCGTCTGTTTTGTACAGTTATATAAATATATACATATGTATAGAGTGAAAGATATATGTATTAAATAGATCAGAGCTGTTTTTGGAAGTAAATAAATACAAAGTTTAGTTTAGTTCTTTGCTATATATCGATCGAGGAGATCTTAAGAGAAGTCTTGTAAAACTTTCGACTTTCAAGAAGAAGAATAAGGAAAGATTTTGTTATATGCATTATGAAATTGAAATTTGTTCGTATATTAGCGGATCTTTCAAACTAAATCATTATTATGACTTCGAATTTGCCTTCGGCTCCCATGAGCTCGCCAATTAGTGTCGCATTTCTCTGGCCGTTCATTATATATTCGAAAAACTCTCTATATAATACTTTGAACTATTGCTACTTTCTAAATGGCAATCAATCGGGTCACACGTTGTGCAAAAGAGACCTTGCTGCTGTTGCTGCTGCTTCGTCTTCCTCTTCTTCTTGCTTTTCAAATATAATTTAAGCAATGCATTTAGCATTTATGAATATATTAACATTAAGATGTGCGTTAAAATTAGCGTAAATATTCATCGTGTATATGTATTGCAAAAACACACAAAATTCACTTTGTAGCAATTACCCTGTAATTGATTATTGAATGGGCTGGTTTGACTGTGCTGTGTGAATGTGTATCTATAGCATGTCTTCTGTTTGTCTTAGAACCTGAGCTGTGAGTCAGAATTTATACTGTTTTGTAAACCAGTGGGTAGCCTTACGTTCAGTTCAATTTGTGAACTTGGGAGCATTAACAGAGTTTCGAAACTGGTTTGTCATAACAATTTTTAATATGTGTTTCCCACTGTTTCTGTAGAGCCAACAAAAATCACATAAATGAATGTAACTTATATGTTTTTAAACTGTTCAGTTATTTCTCATGGAACTAGTTCCATTTGCAATACAATTCATGTAGCAAAATAAAATTAAACCGATTCTTCATTAGAAAATTCTCCTCAACCTATATGCTACAACTGCAGGGTATTTAGCTGTCGACTACTTAGCGAATGTGTTGCATTCATTTTTTATATTTTAAAATCGGAATCTTCCGAATGCCGTCAACAATTTTAGCGGCAGCAACAAATTTCATGTATTGCAATTAAAATACTTTTTTGTTGTATGTAAATATTTATATTTATGTATATGTATGTATGTGCATTGCTATGTGTGTGTGTGTGCATTGAATGGGGTGAGTAATGTGTATTTATATGTTCCATTGGTGTTTTTCATGCATATTTTGCTGAATTTTTATAGATCATGTCACGAAATGTTTTCCATTTTTACAGTCGCTCATGTGTGTGTGTGTGTGTGTGCGTGTGTTTATCTTTGAGATTGTCAAATGGGTCAATTAGCTGACATTTAACGTTTGTGCGATTCGCCGCTCACTTTTGCGAATTTCATTGCATTTGGCTTTGATTGTTGTCCTTACACGTCCGACAATTTTATGGAATAGTTTGACTATGCATAAAAAAAGTTTTCTATAAATAGTTTACCTCAGCTCTGCATCCACTTACAGTAATAGCTGAGTAAACACATTTTAGGTCCTCAGCTTCTATTTTATTAATGCCTAAAATTCACTAAAATATATTATTTACATTTAACTTAAATAAATTTAGAATTTGTGTTTTATAAAAAGCTTTCACTGCATACACAAACTCTTTCACGATTCTTCAGCAATCGAGCACAGATCGTTAAACACCACAAAACAGTCGCTTTGTCTCGCTCACACCAATTCGAGCACCTGTAAACTCAAGCAAGCATGTTAGTATGTGTTTATGTGTGTGTCTGAGATGAGGTCACAAGCTTACGCTCATGCACACACACACACACACACACACACACATTTGCAGTGATAGCGTTAAATGTCGTCTACCTTATGCTTCGTCTCTGCTAAAGCTCTGCTAATTGTAAGCGCGTATCCTACACACAAAAAA